ATGGAAGTTTTAGGTTCTTCATGAACATTTAGAAGTACATCAAGTGATTTCTCCTCATTTGTAGCTGTCCTCTTTCGTCCACTACCAGAAATATTTTTGACACTGCCTGTTTCATTAAACTTGCGTAAATTTCGATACACTGTCGACTTATAAATTAGAGCCATTTTGTCAGGAAATGTAGCATTAAACAAATTGGCAGCTTCTTATGAACCTCTTTTTCTATCTCCAAAAGCAACCATCATCAACAGTGTAATTCTTTCACGTTCACTTAGTTCCATTGTTAGTAATAATAATCAAGTACTTAATCTGTACACCAAAGATATTTGTATTTACTATGATTTGACATTAATATTTTTTGTTAATAGATCATGATATTGCCAGGAAACAGAAAAAAAAATATATAAATATAGTGTGATATAATCTAATTTAATTGTTATTGATAAGACCGTAAGTCTGGGACCCACTTAATGTACCATTGATGAAATCAGACAGATCATACGAACTCGAAATAAAATATAAATACAGGGTGATCCATTTAAAATACTGCCCGATGACGTCATATCTTGAAAATGATTACGTATGCGGGAAATCTGTAAACGTCAATAAATAGTACATAAAATATACAAAAACTTTTATCCAAGTCAAATTATCGTACAAGTCATAGTTAAGCCATAAATCAAGTGTTCCGCCCATATAGAATGATATATGTATCATTGGCCATGTCAATGACAACAGGTCCACAGCAATTTGACAGGTCGTTGGAATGCTTTAGGCAGACTAACGACATATCAAAATGCTGCTTGTGGGTAATGCAAACATGACAACCCTGTGGGCAAAAATGTGTTATAAAACCATTTTTTTTAAGACAGATCAGAAAATATACACTTTCTAAACAATTTTTCGTCCAGAAAATAACGTTTTGCCGATCAAGACTGGAAAGTAGAGGTTAAGGACCGGTAGAAGCTTTTACCAGTCCTTGTTTTAAATTTCTACAATGCTGTTTGATAATACAGTCTGCCTTGATTTTGTTACTATTGTAACAATGTTCCGATTTATTGCCAAGTGACAGTTAATTTAAAATTTCTTGTCTATGTCAAACTTGTTTTCGAAAATTTAAAAATATGGATTCAGAATTTGAATTATCTGACAGAAAAATAATTTATTTCGTTAGTTTATGCAGTTGTATTCATTATCCTAGTTTTAGTATTTTTTAGTCACTTTATTAAATAAAATAAATAATTAAGTTTACATCGAAGTGTCGGTCTTAAAAAAAATATTGTACGTCACACGACCGAAAATTAGTGTTAAGTGGGTCTCTGCTTGTCTCGACCTGCAAAACACTACTTTCCAGTCTTGTAATGTAAATTACTATTACAGCCTTTGAATATAGTAATAAAAAAATAATTACCCACATTTTTACATCAAGACAAGCTTATGTTTATTTTGAAAAACATGGAATATCAATCTATACAGTATGGTTAAAATGAAAGGAATAAATTCATTATAATGGAAGTAGTTGGTTTTTCGAAAAAATGCTCGGACAGGTCAATTTTGTTTACTTAAAGCGCAATTTTTTAAATAGAATTCAATTTTCCCCCACTTCCCATTTTTGGGCAGTGACGTCATTGACAATTTTTTTAAATAGTAACCCCAATTTTTTTTCTTGATTTTGATAGATCTTGCAATTTCCTACTCGGAAACATAATATTTGTAATATCTGACATAACAATTTTTTTTGAATAAAAGTCATTTACAGATCAGATACATAAATTTTATTTTATTTTGAAACACAATAAATAAATAAAAGAAAGTGCTTCATATAAAAAAAATAATAATAAAAAAAAATTTAATGACAATTTCACAAATTCTTTTTTATTATTATTCTTATTATTATTATTAATATTATATTTTATTATTATTATTTTGTTAGATTAAGCACTTAATTACAAATAATTATCTTTTATTCAATTATTGTGCTCTCAAAATAAAATAAAATTTATGTGTCTAATCTTTAAATGACTTTTATTAAAAAAAAATTGTTATGTAAGATATTTCAAATATTATGTTTCCGAGTAGGAAATTCCAAGATCTAACAAAATCAAGAAAAAAAAATTGGGGTTACTATTTAAAAAAAATTACCAATGACGTCACTGCCCAAAAATGGGAAGTGGGGGAAAATTGAATTCTATTTAAAAAATTGCGCTTTGAGTAAACAAAATTGACCTGTCCGAGCATTTTTTTTGATTTCCATTATAATGAATTTATTCCTTTCATTTGAACCATACTGTATAACTATTTCTATATCATTGACCCTGTCAAATCACCAGGCCCACCGTGTTGCCATATCATAACCTGTCATTACCCACGGGCAGCCATTTTGTTTGGAATGTCTAACTGAAATTGACATATATACGATTTTTATTGAAAATATTGTTTGCAAGTTTTAAAAAAGTAGTTTAATGGTATGTAACAAAATTGTTTTTAATGTTTAAATAAATGCAATCTTGAAAATACTTGAAATAAAACACACTTAACTACTGACCCTGTCATTTGTCATTGGAACACAAATTACGTCATCACTAATATAGTATATTTTTATAGGAGACTTATGTAATATAGGATGAGCTATAATTAAACAGTGCGGCAAATATGTCCCGCCAAATTCTTATGTACGTTAAGATTAGTTTTAGTTACTTAATCAGAAAGAGACCATCCTGTCGTCAATTATATAAAAGTACTGTTCTGTGTAAAATTTCACTTGTGAGTGTGCGCTTGGATGGTCTTTTTGAGATAAGTTTAATGTTTGAACAAGCTAAAATGAAATCTAAGTTCTTGAAATTTGTTTAATTATAAAACTATTCAAGTAACCCCAGAACACATTTATTTATGTTCCAACTCAATTATGTTTTGGGATCTTTTTTATTATGCATGCTTCATAACCTCAAATACCAAAATATAACCCTTAATAATTTTATTATGGATAATTTGGTCCTGTTCTCTAAAGTCTAATTCCAGAACACATTTCGTTACATTGTCATTTGTCTTTTCTTGCCACGACACGCTGTTGACGTATCTAACCATGAAATAATTTTAAAATTACTCAATGACTTGTTAAAAATAGTTTATGCTGTTTCGTTTAATCGTTTCATTTTTAATAAAAGATTATATTACACAATGTTTTTTTGTAACGGTCACCTACCAGGCATAATTTTACTATTATATTGTACATTTAAATCATTATTACAAGAAGGATGTGATGATGGCTTTGTAAAGCCAGAAGAGCTCGCCGGGTTCCATTAAATTATTATTTATGTACTCGTTTTATTAATTATCCCTTTCATTTAATTTATTTTCCAATAACTATCAATCTTACACTCTGTATAATTCAATGGCTGCTGAGGCATATATCCAGAGTAGTTGTTTTCAGTAGAGAAGCGATAGCTCACATTATTTTATGACACATGACTTTGGGTTTTTTTCTTGGTCACATTCGAGTTTGCAATTATTTTCATTTATTAAAATGAAAGTTTAGTTTATCATTTGCAGAATTTTCTGTGCTACTCCCGCAAAAACACTACACACTAAACGACTCGAAAATGAAAGACCTGTTTACACACATAAAATGTATTATACTAATGTACATTTAATATACGATTTGAAACATTTAAATGTCTAAAATCATAAGTACCTAATAAAATAGAGCAAAATAAGAATAAATTCTTAAAAATCGTAAACGAGTTTCTACAAATCCTTTTTTTTTTGTTAAGAACGTGAACTAATGAAGCAATCTATGGATTGGGCTTCTAAAAGCACCCCAAGCGTTTTAAATTTTAAAGAAAAGATTAAAGATACTTCCAAATAAAAATGACTTTCCGTAGAATGTCATAAGTTTCGGATATATTGTAGTACTTTACCTCTAACCTCTAGACTAAATATATGTTCATAAATCTAATAATTAGTTTTTAAGTTATAGGGTGTTAAAGTAAAAACATTCTTAATTTTTGTAATCTTATAACTTCATAAAAAAAACGTATGAATTTATATTTTAAAGTTTTTAAAATTCCATGATATTATGATTTGAAAAAAAAAAAAAAAAAAAAATGTTTCTTACAATACGGTTGAAATTTTTGAATTCAAAAAGTCATCCTACCAATTATGTATAGAGGGTGATTCCAAATATGACTAAGGATTTCTTAAAATAAAATTCAAAGAATCTCTGTATAATGGAATTTAGATAATTATCTATCATAAAACTGACGTCAGGATCATCAACTTATATAGCTTGCTTGATTGACCCTTCTCGAACTGTCCAGATTTTTCTTGACGTGGAATGACATTTCTCGAATGGCCTGAATGGTTATTCGCATGGTAATATTTAAAAAATATTACTCCATTTTTATCAGCACTATATTTTTCGATACGATTTGTAATTAGTTTGAATAAGTCAATAAACTGATACTTTTATAATTTTACTTTTTAGAAAAATAGTCAATACTTTTTAGAAAAATAGTCATATTTTGAGAAAAATTTTAAAATGTTGAGAAAATAAAGTCAATGTCAAAAGTTTGAGGAGAAATTAAGTTACAGTTTTAAGAAAATCAGAATTTTTAGAAAAATAATCATAGATATTAGAAAAATTGAACAATCTGAAAAATATTCAATAAAAAAGTCAAAAAATAATGTTATGTGGAGAAAAATTTACGAAATAAAGTTACAAATTTGAGAAAATCTAAATTTTGAGAAAAATATAATTTTTACAAAAAAATTTAAAAAATTTGAGAAAACTATGTCAACAAGAAAAATTCAATATTCTTAGAAAACAATATCAACATTTTTCAGAAAATAAAATTAGAAGTCAATATTTTTAGGAAATAATGTCAACATTTTTAGAAAATAAAGTCAAGGTTAAAATTTTGAGGAAATGAAATCAAAATTTTAACAAAATTACTAAAATCGGTCGAAGAGAAATAGAAACTATATAACTTGTTTCTTTATTTTCTCTCTCAAAATAATGACCGATTTTGAGAAAATAATAACGGAATCAAAATTTTGAAAAAATAGTCAAATTTTAGAAAAAATTAAAAATGTTGACAAAATAATGTCAATTAAAAAGTATCTAAACGAAATATATCCCAATGAATGAATTGGACGAAGAGGTACTATTGAGTGGCCAGGAGTTATCTCACGAATGAAGTATATTCAACACAGCCAGTTAGCATGGCAGATTTCAGAGAAAGGATAACACTAGACAAGGAATATTTCATCTCAAACTTTAAATAATGTTAGGCAGGAGTTTTATAACAGATTGGGTGGTTATTATCAAAAAATAGGTGGAGAATAAGTGTTGAACCACCCAAGCTTTGAGAGTAAATTATAGCTAGTTTTTTTTACACCTACACCTAACTTACCTACATATTTCATATAAAAAATTGTATCAATATCAACCAAAAAATATAAATGTATACATTAAATTAAAATATTATAAAATTTTTTAACTTTAACATCCTGTACTTTAAAAACCAGCCATAGGATTTAAGTGGATGCATGGATATATTTGGCCAAAAGGTTAAATATTTGCTACAATATATTCAAAATTAAAAACAGTTAACACAAGCCATTTAGCCTAAGAAAAATATATTTATCATTAATTATTATTAAATCCAACGATATTGAAATTCTGCAAATAAAAATTATGTAAGTCTGGCTTATGTTTTCTGTAAGTTTGTATTAATTTTCAAATTTAAAAATATCGAAAATCTTTTCTTTTAAAAATTAAATAGCGGGTCCACTAAAACTTTCACATTCCGCTCTCTGTGTGTTAGATATATTATAAAATATATTACTAAACGCCACTGATATGTAAACAGTAAGCTGCCTACAAAAAGGCTATTTTAAAAATGTAGAAATCATAAACTTAATATATAATTATACAATGTATATTGTGTAAATAATGTAAAAAAAAAGAATATAAGAAATAAAGACAAAACATCGGGACATCTTTATATAACAGAAACGGAAAATGTATAGTTGGTGAAAAAGGAAAAACAATAAAATATAAATATATAAATTATCTCATGATACAGGATGTCGCAAAGTCTGTATTCGGAAGATTGCACAAATATTACTTACGTCTGGGATAAATTTTGAAAATACTGTGTGCAATGCCTCCTATGAAACATTTATTTATTTACGAGTCAGAGGCCATTAAAACAATACAATTACAAAGAATACATATCGTCCCTTCTTGATAATAAAACTATAGAAAAAATATTTATTATTTTCATACTGGGAATACGTTTATTATTATTATTATTATTATGAAAGACATAATAGAAATTCAAGAATTAAAATTATAAAAAAACAATAGAAATTCAATTTCCATTATAAATATATTAAGGGTTACCTAAAATTATAAATTTCTATTATGTATTTCATAATTTTAAATCAGTAAATTTTTTGAAGGAAATATTATTTTTTCTTGCTTTTTAAACGATGTTATTAAACACCAAAAGGGCACGCCATAATTGGGTTTGTTTTGGTTCAAACAGAACCGTCGATTCCAGTTCTCAAATAACTTTTTCAAGAAATCGTTGCGAGATCATAACAACCTTTTAGCTGATCGAGTGTAATTCAGTTTGCGAAAGAACCAAAACAAGCCTATTGCAATTGGTATACCTTGTTGCGGTGTTGCGCCAAGAATAATTTCAAAAAATTTACTGATTTAGGTATTGTGTTTTCAGTAATTTTATTAGTCTGTCTGTATTTTTGTGTTAAAGTTATAAAAACTGTTTGAAACCAGCTTTTCATCTTATTTACATAATGGGCGAGTAAACTATACGATGTGTCAACTCTGCCAGCCTGAGTGTAGAAGAACGATAAACACAATTCTATTGAATAGAGAGAAACGGAATATAAATCGCCGATGGGTGGATCGCAATGTTTATAAAGCAAACTGTCACTCATTTTTCATGAAGATACACACCCTTAAATATTCGCATATCATTTTAAGAATACCACAGAAATGTTTGAACGTTAAGAGTTTGACATATTGTAACGAGATGAAACTGATATTAAGAAGTGTGTGCGAGGCAATGTACTGTGTTTTCTTAAATTTTCCATGGTTTTTCCCAAAGAAGCATTTTTACAATCTTCACAAATCCTACACTTTATGACATCCTGTATAAAAGTCAAAAGTGTCATATTAAGAAACGTGAATACCCTGTTTTTAGCTTACACCTAACGTTTGTGCTTTATACCTAAAATTACAAATGGCGATAATGAAATAAATATTTCGATAGACACCCGAAAAAATGTTATTGTCCGGGACGAGCATCACCGTTTTTTTATTTAAAAAAAATAACGAAAATAAAATTCTTACAATATCCAACTATACAGACGAATTCGCGAGATATATAAAGATGGCTTTCACAATGATTAAAAATGTATAAAGCAAATTAAACACAATCAACACTTAGTTATTAAATGAACGAATTGTTTCTCGCAAAACTCATTTTAGTTTGTAGCATACCACAATAAAATGGTACATGTTTATTTAACAAATAAAGGTGATATTATCTTATATGTAATTAGAAACAACAAGTCATTGATTTTATACTGTATTGTTTTGTTAAAATTAAAAAGAAAACATGATATAGTATGATAAATCAAGCGCCGCACACAAAATTTCAAAAATAAAGATGTAGCATAGATACTTAACCCAGTCATATTTGAAGTTACATGTTCAAGATTGGTGCGAAATAGTTTTTTGACTAGCAATTACAGTCTCAATTTTTTTTTTGGTTATTCGAAAAGTGCCCATGATTATTACTATAATAATTTGTACACGTTAACGTTATTTTGAATTAAACCCTAACCGTTAGTAATTTTTCGAACTTAAAAAGTTAATGTAAAAATTGGTCCCTAATTACTTTTATACCAATTGTTAAGTGTTTATAATACTTATGATCTAATTGAGATACAATTAACAAAAATATTCTGTGTTATGTTGTTATGAAGGTGTCTTATCGTAATAACTTTTCTTATATTTACAATTCAGCTCAAAAACTACCCCTATACCCGGAATATATTTTTTTATATCCTTTTATATCCTATTTTTAAAAAAATCGTTTGATCAGACACCTTAACAGAAAATTGAAAGCCATTATTTTCTTATTACAAAAGAAAATTAATATGTATAAAATCAATGACGATACTGGATATTTCTTGGTATTTTGGACGATTTTACCCACCTCAATTATTTGTAGAAAAAAATATAAATCAATTTGTCTTCTACAACGCACAAAAAATAATAGTTTCTCTTAAAATTTTAGAAAATAACGAATTTGTATAAATTTTACATTACAAAGTGAGTAATTATATAATATATAGTTTAATTTTATTAGGTGCAGTTGATACCTAACCTTAAATTTAATTTTATCAATAATTGAGCCACTTCACTTTAGTAAAAACTGGAACACTTAAAAAATGTATTGCAGATTAGGAGAAAGGGGATATTATCGTATGGAGAATAGAAAAAAGCTGTCTACTCCAACTTAATCCTTTCAGACCTGGTGTCAGAACATAAACATACTACTGATTTAACTTAATTTTTGATGCCCAATTCCAGGCCCAGATTGAGATTTTTTAATTATGCATCTTTATTTTATAAAAGAAATATTTGAAAATATGTTTAATTTTAACGAATTCTATACACAGTTAAGATAGAAATCACCTTGTATTATGCACTATTGGCGACGAATAATCATTATTCACTAATCTAATATATTAAGCATTGGGACGCGGCTGTCATGCCAAATTTTGACTGCATAATAATTTATGAAATATTTTACTAAAAACTGAGAAAAAATGAATTCAGAAAATGGAAATGAAATGTCTTTAACTCCGCCAGAAGTGAAAGAAGCTGCTGAAATTGTGTCATTGAATATATTGCCGGAAAAATCAAGAACATTGTGATGAATCTCTTTTAAATTGGACGAAGGAAAAACTCATTTTCGCAAACTGTTATGGTGATTTTACAGAATTATCCAGAAAATATAAATCGTCGACACTATAGACCCATTATTTACGGGTTAGAAATACTATGAATATATATCGAGGAATAAATATAAAAAATTACACAAAACAACTATTAAGACACACTCAACATTGCATCTTATGCAGACCCTGAACAATGATTCAACGTTTGAATAAGACTAAAGATCACATCTCCCCCTTGTGAAAGACATATAAGCATCACTTCATAGTCAATAAAATACGATCCACAAGTCAAGTGACACCACCACACAAGAAGATGATTGGTCAGTCAGTTAAAAAAGAGAAATTGGTACATTTTCACCTGTAGAGAGCAGAGCTTTTACACACCTTCGCTACAAGCAACATACAATAGTAAAATTCAAAGGCAATGTAATAACTTTTCTAAGCAAATAAAAAATGTATATCTGTAAAATTGTGTTGCATATAAATTATTTTAAAAGGTTCACTAATAAAGCATTTGAATGTAGCCACATCGACTAGGAACCAGCACATATCAAAAGGTATGTCTCAAGCTATACTTCATGAAGATTATGGTCGGACTCAACCTTATTTAAGAATGGAAAATTATTCGGCATTAGTTCCATTGTCAGTGTTGCCCCAATAACTATAGTGAAAAAGAGACAGTTTTCAACCCTAAAAAGGTAGTATTATGGAACAAAATTAATGGTTGAATTGTAATTAATTAATGTTAATATTGTTTTTATGTAATAAAAAATAATTATTTGCCTCAATAAAAGTATTTTCATAGTATTCTACTCGCATATATGGGCTATTATTACATGCTAAATGAATATTATGTCCTGTAGTTGCAATCCTAACAAGCGCTGACAACAGTTTGTGAGTTTTATGTATAACAATGGCGTTTATTAATAAAAAACGTCGATTGAAAACGATTTGTTAGATATACTGTGAGAAAGGGATATAGTTGAGTCTGAAGTCGAGAGCGCTGTAAGATCTGAAAGGTTTAAGTCTGATTACTCAAAGTTATTATTTTTTTAAATGTTGTTTTTTTTTTTAAATAATAACCATTTATTTAAGATGCTTACGAAATGTTAATGGAAGTTATGCTTAAAACATTTATTACTTTTATAGATTTTTTTAAGTATATAAGTAAGGATATAATGATAATTCACCTTATTTAGCCCAATATAATTCACATTTGGCTAATACCCTCGTTCCCCCAAAGTTAACCAACAGTTTTTTCTATGCTGTATAAAATAAAAACATACTTTCAATATCATAGCATCAAAAACCGTCCAAAATATTCAAAATTTATCCAGTACATACCTAATGTAAATAAAAAAAATCGTAAAAAATTCCTAAATGAACAAAAACAAAAAATACAAACAAACGATTGTAGTATGCCGCTTAGTCCTAGTATGGATTAAATTTGTTCCGCTCGCTCTTCATCTTGGAGCCCTGCTCGTTCCCGCCACCGGGCGAGCGCATGCGCGGCGTAAAGCTCTTGTGGGGACGGTGGACGCCGGTGGTCTGGATTGAGGGAGGGCCGCCCCCTTGCCCGGCCAACAGCTCGGTGAGACCGCCCAACGCGCTAAGGCTGCTCAGCGCGTTGAGCGCTCCCGGCTTAGCGAGCAGCTGGGCAATGGGGATGGCGCTAGCCAGGGGGGAGGCGGCACTGGTGGTAGTGGTGGTGGAGGACTGGCCGGTACCGCCGGTGTTAGGAGAGTTTTGGGCCTCAAGGTTAGCTTTCTGCAGTTCGACACTAGGAAAACACATAGAAAATATGTATGGGAAAGAGTTTTGTTCGTTTATTGAGCGAAGGGATTTCGTGTTTTTAGTCTTACAATTGTTAATATTTTTTTAATTTTTTATTATGTAGAAAAAATCTCCTTATTTGTCAATTCAAACAGTACCTAATATGTTAAAATCACAGGCGAAATTACACAGCCCAACAGACATTTTGGTGCCCGCTATTTTATAGCTGTTTATAGTTTTTTGTTATTGCAGAATCAAAAATTGCCATCAGATTTGGTCTATCAGATACGCTATATTGATCTTTTTCATCACCTTATTTTTAAAAGGTTATTACTGTTATTATATAAGCTCCAATTACTGAACAAAAAATACAAATTACAATATTGCGAGCAGAAATAACTATGTTGGGACGATTATGATTTTTTCATAAATCAAGTAGTATTTTTAAATTTGAGAACTTGTTTTTCAACATCTGTTAACAGCTACTGATTAGAATTTTATTTCTTTATTTCATTCTATAATTTATTTTACGTAATTATACATTTTTTAGTTGACAGCTAAATGTTGGGACGGTAAACGAATATTATTAAGTAGACATAGAAAACAAAAGACGTTATCTGTCTGTCAGTTCAGTTAATAAAATATTTTAAAAATTTAAGCAAATAAGATTGTTAGTCTTTTTACTTCCCTCTATAAAAAGGAAGTATTGTAATCGTGAAAGTCACCTTCAGAGATTATTTTAGATTTTCACGTTTCATGGTCCCTAGATTACGAACAACACGTTTCCCCATTGCGTTGGTCTGTCAGTCGCCAGTCTGTTGGGGCGATAGCTCAAAAACGGCTTTATAAAAAAAACTTCAATTTTTGTATGGATTTATAGTTATATACAGGGTGAGCAGTTTATAAAATAAAAATTATTTTTAAAAGTCGGTAGATTTCGACTAAAATTGTTATCCGAGAATTTTAGAAGCCAAATATTACAGATCCTAAATAGGTTTTTAAAAATTCAAAATGGCACTGAATGGAATCGTAGCTAATCAAAAAAGGTCCCCCTTGAATGGAAATAATAAAAGTTGTCTATCTGGTTTGTGTAACTCGACTATTTTAAAAGCAGCCAATCATTATTGTTCAATAACGGTGATCATGGCGAAGAATACCGAGTCGACGCGAAGTCAGAATTCGGGTGGGATTAAGAGGAAGATCGATATAAAGAGAAATGTGAAAACCGGTTTTTGATTTGGTGGTTATAATTTTAAATTATTAAAATTTAAGTGCTCAGGAGTGAGTTCCCTGTTTTCACAATTTCTATACATATAAGTTTTGGGTAAAATACTTTACCGATTTTTTAAAATCATATGGTGAGGGAAAAACCTTAATGAAAATAGCGACTGACCTGAAAATGGCCAAATCTTTAGTGGAAAACATTGTAAAACATTATGCCCTAACGGGAACTACTAAAATAAAGAGTAAACATACTGGTAGACTAAAAATTATAATAGGAAGTTATTAAAGTCAAACCAAACATTTACAAGCAACACAGAAGAAGCACTTTAAGAGAAAACATTGCCTAATTTTTAAAATAAAAAGAAAACATTTAGGCAACTATTTTGTTTAATCAACACTAGTAGCCTTTTCAAGGAAAAGAAATCTCAATTTCAAAATGTCAGACGGGAAAGATACAGAATGGAAAAAGAAGTTAAATATCTAGGCCTAACCTTGGGCAACAAACTTCTCTGGAACATACATGAGAAGGAAGTAATAAATAAGTCAACAAAAGCCCTAGTGGTATGCAGAAACATTGTGAGTAAAAGATGGGGATGCATACAGCAACAGTGAGACCAATCATCAGTTACGAGGCTAAAGCCTGGAGTAACAGAACTATTAGCTACTGCGAGACCTAATATCTCAAAAGTACAAAGACTAGCATATCTTTGCATCACGGGTGCAATGAGAACATGTCCTACGGCCGCAATCGAGGTGATCTTAAACCTCACCCTTCTACATTTAATGACAGAGACCATGCCATGAGAAAGTAGTACAGTTTTTTAAAAAACTTCTAAATCACAGAGCTGGGCTGCAATGAAGAATGTAGCCAAGAATCCATCGTGCTTGCAACTGAAAGACATACTATTCAGTGGTATACAGATAGTTCCAAAACCATAGAAGGAGCTGGAATAAGAGTGTGTGGGCCTAGAACCAGGCACTCTGAAAGTTGGGGAAATTACTCAAGCATCTTCCAGATCATTCAGAAATGTATCCAGTTTAACATCGAGAGAAACTATCGTCATGTCCGATAGCCAAGCACCCATCAAAGCACTGAGTAATCAGTTTAAAAATGGTTTGGAAATGTCTAGAAAAACTGGTTGAGCTAGGTGAGGAAAATACAGTTACTCTCCCTTAGGTGTCTATAACGGGGTAAAGGGTAACGAGATTGCAGTTAGTCTCACAAGGGAAGGTGCTCAAACACCCTTTGTGGGACTTGGGTCGTTTAGTAGTAACAACAGTAATACAATAATGGGAGATTAAAAAAGAATTGGGCAGTAGAAGAACCGATGACTCAAAGGACACCTTAGTAAATTAAGAGTATTAGAAGACAGTGAGTGCAGAGTATGTGAGATATTCTCCAAAGAACAATAACGGATTTAAAAGCCAAATTATAACAAATCTGGGAAATTACAACCCATAAATTTTGAACAAAACTTGTGAATAGTTTGCCAAATCGCATTCAAGCTGTTATCGAGTCATAAAGAGATGTCATAAGTTATTAAAAATAGTTTTTTATATTAATTTACTGAAGCGTCCCAATATTTAGTTGTCAAAACTAATCAACATTTTTGTATACTTCACGCATTAGTTACAGTTTAAAATATTTTTAAAATAAAAATTCTGCCATTTTGTGTACTCGTGGTGTTAATAAATCGTATTATACTTATCAATCTACTTCTCCAATATGGCTTATTACTATGACGTCATAATTTCAGAGAAAAATTGTAATGAAATGGTCTGAGTAACCAAATCATGTTTAATTTAATTATTTCAGTGGTATACTTTTAAATGAATACAATATTGAAAATAGAAATAAAATGTAAGTTGACACCTAATCTCTAATTTTATTTATCAATAGTTAATTCTGTATAATACTTTAGTAGTAGATTAAGAAACAGCCACTGTATATAAATATGAACATTCAAGCGTTTAATAACACTTTTTTTTTTAATTAGTACCAACTGAAGACTAGAAACACATTTCTGGAACGATCTGGAACAGGCTCCCAACTGGATTGTTGCTAGAAGGGATCAATCAATAATTCCTATAAATTCACAGATCACTCATTTCATAAAAGAGCCCATCTGTAATTTTACAAGGCAATAAACCAAAACAGGAAGTTTGTGGTTCAATTGATGTGTTATTGGGAAAAATAAGGATGTATATTTAAATTATTTGAAGGATTAGAGTACGGATCGAGAGCTTTTTTTTAACAAAATCCAAGAACACATCAAATGATTTTGTACCTTGCCGGTGTCCCGCGTGTGTGGTACTGCTTGCCATCTTCAGCTCGTGGTCGATGTACAGTTTTTTTTAATAATAAAATTAAAACTTTTATTTTAGTTTGTTCCCTAGTAAGTGATAAAATTACACCAAAATATAAAATATATTTTTGACTTTATTGATGTTAATTTAAGGAAAACGCCTTTATTGTAAATTGTTCATCTTTTAAAATACATTTGCAATAGATAGGGTAATGTTTTGATGAAAGTTCGAAGGAATTCATTATTGTCCAACATTTTGAAGGAATGAAAATCTTAAGCAAGTTTATAGAAACACAATTGAGGACCTTGCTGCAATAAGGGGACATCTTCATTTTTTGTTAAATGTTAAGTTATTTTAGGTACTTTATGTAAAAAATATTTAACATTTTGGAGTTGTCGCAGTAAGTGTTTGGTGCAAGACCGAATCTGCCCCCTTTTTGCAAAAGAATAAATATTGTTTTTTTTTTATAATAAATGCACTTTAGATTTACGAATTGTCCTGTATATTTCAAATTTTATTTAAAAGATGAACATAAAAATTGGCCTGTTTAAACGTTTTTGATAAACATATTAAAAAAAAATATGTACTATTGGAATCCGACTATAATTTGACTATATTTTTAGAAGGTCCTACGAAAGCATGGGAAGATTCGGATAATTAAATATAGCTATTTATAGTTTTTCTGTAGTAATATATAAATTTCAACAAATATTCTTAAGAATAGTAAAAAAAACCTTTTATTAAGCCTCAATACATTTTTAATATTTAACTGCGCTAAAAAAAATTACACAAAACTTTTCTTAGTTCAAACGTTAACAGTTTTTTAATTGAGCACAGGCAACTAAAAAATTATTTCTAGTAAATATATTTTGAAAATACAAATTCTACATCAAAAACTAGTAAATAAAATTCTCCGAAGCTCAGAATAACTGTTACATTAAAAAATGAAAATTGTTAGTTTTAAATGAGACTATCCAAAAATCGACAAATTATAATTGGGACACAATTTACATCAATTATTACTTTCCTAGGGAAACTTAACTAAAGTACAATTTGCAAATTCATTTCCATTCGACAACAGGCATTCAAAGATTCACACATTTTGTCAATATGATAAAAGCATAAAGATGGGGAAGGAGATTCTCAGGTTTGCTTTAATTTTTTTTTTACTTTTAATTTTTGATAAACAGTCCATATGGTGACTTTTTCTTTTTATAAAATACAAGCATAAAACTATTTTGTGATTACATGAGACATTTTAAAATTAATTGTATATATTATCTGTTCCGAAAGTTTGCAAAATGATGACATTCAAACCATTTTATTTCATCTTAGTCATTTTCTTTGAAATGCCATAATAAATCGCACAAAACTGCTATTTTTGATAAAATATGGCTGCTATATAAAGTGTGGCCCAAATTGGAACTACATGTATTTGAATCTTGAGAACTATAAAATATAGAGAAACGGTTAAATGGGAAAAATTTTATACGAATATATTTGCAACAAAGCCGTTTTGTACGCGATTCTATCTTTTTTGTTTTCGAGATATTTAAAAAAAAAGTTGCATTTTCTAAATTATGCTATAACTTTTTTATTGTTCACTATTTTGGCAATCTGTAAAAACATTTTTGAAGTGTAGATTTAGATTCTGAAATTGGATTTTGAACACGACGTTTCAGTTATTCTATACCATCATCAGATAATTATTGATGTCAGCTTTACAACGATTTATCACTTATTGGTAAATAAATGAAATTGGTAAATAAATGAAATTGGCTTAAAGAATCAAGAAAATGTTCAACAACAAAAAAAAAGATATAACTCGGAGCGGACAGATAATTTAGAGGCGTCATAATAAAAACAAATGCTCTCCTTACCGATATCTTTCATTTGGCATATAACTTATTCCTATTGTGGGGTGGGGTAAAACTGAACAGTTTCCTATAATAGGAAAGTAACTTTCGACTAGTTTAAGTTATATTCTTGAATGGGCCATGGGAAATGTTTTAAGCAAGCTTAACACAATACAAAATACCCATTATTAAATAACCCTATAAAACTATTCGCAATTCAATTAGGTATTACTATTTTAAATTCTGATCCTGAAGGCGAATTAGAAATCAAAGTTACAAGAACTGTGCTGCTAGCTCAAAACTAGAGATAGTCTATTTTAATGCCACTGTAAGCCGGAGAGTGGCATGGATTCTTAAAGAGAAACTTGATATGCTAGTGTGACCGAATAATAACAATGAGTAAGTAGTGTTTTTCTTTAATTTGTACAATAAGTAGGTAGTTAGGTAGATAGTGATAATTAGAAACCCAATTGTATGTAACAAATACCGATAGGTAATAAATCCCCCTTTGTAGTACTACCAAGGTTCACACGTTTTAAATATATATGTATGTCACTATTTAATTAAATGTTCTTATTTTTCTTGCAGGTTATATGGCTGCTATTAATCGGATGATTATAAAATTGGAAAGCTCTTACTTGGCGATATCGGTTCCTAGCGGCGTCTACAGCTATGATATAATGCTCGCAGTCAAGTGCTGGTAAAGGAAGAAGTGGGTTCCAGCCACCAATCCAATATATACGGCACGTGAGTGGTACTTTAGAAGAGACTTAAGGAGGTGCTCTATAGTGAAAGTAGTAATCGGCTCTACGAGCAGCACTAAATAATATCTGGTAATACTAGAAGCTAGATGACCAAAGTTAGATATTGTAGAGACTTAATGTCGACACTTAATGGCCGGAGATCAGAAGCGGCCCCTTTTAAGATAAGTATAATTATCCCCAACTGGGTAAATCCACTTAGATTAATGTTATATATACTTAATCTGTTAGATGTTAGCTTAAACTTAATTTGTTATTAGGTTGAACAAATCCGAATAAAGTTCGAAAGTTACAGAAACCTCATGGCCCAAATTTCAACCAAGAACCAAGAAGAAAAAGGAAGTGAACGAGAAAGACACATTTCCTGACCTAGGAGTTTATTGGTGATGCCAAAATATTTGACCATAGTAGGCCTTTTAGCCAGGTACAGGCATACCTAGTTGTAAAATGTCTCTAGAATAAAAGAAGAGCAGAGTTCAAAGGTCACTAAAGTAGTTCAAAATAAATGTAAACACTGAAATAGGTCATTTTAAACAATAAACAGTTAAAATACAAATGTATCCTTTTTGATTTTTCCTGAAGTAAGTAATTAACTATTAAGTAATTAAATAATAACTAATTAATTATGTTTAACATAACTATTCAATGGTAATTGTATTAATTTATAATTCATCGATTTAAACCTGATGCAATAAACAATTCGCAATTTGCCAACAAAAATATATACAGGGTGTTACATGACGTACTGTACAAACTTAAATAGCACATTCCTGAGTTCAACAAAAAAATTTCCTATGAACAAATATTCAATTTTTCATTCTTGTCGAGCTATAAGCTTTCAAAGATCAGAAGATAAATTAATGTCGCATGTCATGTGTACAAATTTGTCGAAACACAACACCGAATGTTTTGTCATTTGGAACTTGTCAAAAGGAATACATTACAAAATCCATAAATATCCATATTATTCATTAGAAAACAGGGCAGATATATTACAAACTAGTTATACTGACCTAAATATTATAGCATGACAGTGATGTTGACGCGACCGTCTCTGTTATTGCACCGTCTGATTATTTTTTACATGCTTTAATTTTTGGTAACTTTCAAGGTGTGCCGCTAGGTGTCCGCTTGTCAAACTCTGACTCTAGAATATTTACACATACACTAAATGTAAACTATGACTGAATTTTTAGCCTTGATAAAACTATTTCACTTATGTGTCATGTGCTCTCTGTCTATGAATGCAAACTTTCGGGACCCACAAATTTTTCGATTTTCTCTAACTAATCTAAGTTTTTATAAAAAATGATCAATGTTATATTAAACAGTTAAGCAAATTAAAAATATATTCAATTTCACAAAAAAATTTGATTTATATCACAACCAAAAATGTATAAAAACAATTTTTAAAATAACTACATGCTTTTCCGAAAGAACTATCTTTTAAATATGTAATTTATGTAATGTATGAGAGAAAAACTAAGAAAAAAAAAAAAAAAAACATTTTGGACTGCTTATCAAAAATATTCACATAGAATAACTACCAAATATATAAACAAGAAAACGAAACTCACCTCATATTGATGAGGTACTGCGCCAAGGCCACAGCGTCTGGATTTCCCGATATTGTGATGGTACGATCCGAAGAACCTGTCTCTCTGTCATCACAATTCGAAATGCGTATCATGGCTCCGGAAATCTGCCTTATTTCGGCGATTTTGGTGCCCCCTTTGCCGATTACGCACCCGATCAATTCATTCGGAACGGTCATGTTGTGAGTCTGATGATTCGTGTTCTGTTGGTTCCTCGTATTCGTGGTTCTTAACTGCGATCCGGCAAGGGCTGCAAGTGCTAAAAATAAACGACGTTTATGAGTTATCGGTTAACAACGAGAAAAATCATAATTGGAGTTGGCTATGAAATTTAAATGTATTGAGTTGGGGTACTTTAGCTACCACAGAATGATATTTTAACCTTGAAATTTAAACTGAACATTTGTGTCAAATTTGCCAAAACTTTAACTGTTTTTCACAAAATGTAAATATTTTGATAATATCACTTCTTGACGGTTTAAGTAAACCTCCATAATTTTTTCTATTTAAGAGCACGAGGTTGTCACAATCAATAGTAAAACTATATACAGTATAAAGTGCCATTATACAAATCGGATATTTAATTATCTTTTGATTTGATTCTAGCAATGTAGGTGACGCCATTTCTAGTTATGATACTTAAGAAAGGCACATGTTCCACATAATATTCGATACCATCATCTTCTAAAGTATTATGTGAAATATCCATGTTGTATTTTTTAATAAGGGCTATGTCACCAATATCAATTTTTTCCATTTTTTTTACCTTGTCAAGTAGTAGTCAGAATATTTACCATTTCCTATTATTCAGTTTAAATGAATAAAACTTATAAGTAGTGAGGTTATTGTTTCAAATATTTTTGGATCAAACAGTAACATGTTTCAGCCAACCAAATACTTTTTGGACCTGATCCTTCCATCCGTAGTGACAGACCTAATTAAAGAACATTCCCTTGAGAAATTCAGGGAAAGATGGGATGAAACAAGAAACTGTAAAGTTGCCAGGAAGCTTTTAAGTATCCCAAATAATTACTTGACTGTGACTAGGCATGTATTCTGACAGGTTATTGTCAAGTATGAAAGCACCTCCATATCATGGGGCTGTCAGAGTTCGAACTTGCAGGGGGTGCAAATAAGAAGGCGAGACCATCGAGCAGATCCTCTACGATTGTCCAAAGCTCATTTATTAGAAGATTTGTGTTCGATTGGTATCGGCAGATATAAGAGAAGCACCTCTTGGCGACTACATTAAATCTGTAGGCTGGCTCACGAGCTGGGAGGTGTCTATCATCTTGGGATGCCTTAAAGTTTTATGAATTTCGCAGAACAGTCAATTTGTGTTTAGACGTAAATGGACAAAAAAATTTCTAGTTTCATGTAAGTTTTGATGATTTCGATAATAACTAAATTACTTTTAGTTTCTCTTTTTTTTGTTGCAGTATTATTTCGAGATAACAGATTTTGTTTACAATGAAAATGTCAAGCAATAAATAAATGTAATTTTCTGTGGGTGGAAGTGGCTAAAGTATCAATCTAAAACCTTTAAATTTCAAAGCCAACTCCAATTATGATTTTTCTAGATGGCTCATCATTGTTTAAATGCCTGATATTAATACATACAGTGCGGGTCTAAAGTCCCTTCTCCCCCATTTATTTTTTGAACCCTAAAACTTAGAAATTTGAAATTTTGGGAAACTGAACTAAGGAATGTACCATTTTAATGATATTAGGTGATGTATTCATTAAAAATGGCGGATGATAATTTTAAATGGTATCATATGGCAAGTAATGTATCATTTGAAGGCTTGTTCTAAACCCTTTCCAAATAAAAATAAAATATTTCTTCTTTTTACTCAAAACGAATCCCGAAATTTTCAATGCTATCAAATGGCGTACTACAAATGTTTAACCTTTGGCACTGTACTATTCTCGTTTAAAATCAAAGTTTTTTTTATGGGTTCATATATCAAATTATTAATTACGGTTCAAAAAATAAATGGGGGAAGGACTTTAGACCCGCACTGTATATTGAGAGTATAGAAAGTAGACAAACTCATTGAAGTAGTAAAAATCAGTTGATGTAGACTGTTAAAAATAACGACGAAAATATTGTAATTGGATCTTATCGTCCCGAAACGAATAATTAAATAGCAGGATACATCCGCTTCTGTAGACTAGCGGTTAGAATTGTTGGTACGGAATATGCAACAATACCATAAATTGACTTTTTTCAATTTTTCCTTTTTCGTATTGATCTTTGGTATTCAGAAATTTATTAATACATTTTCTTCTCTAGAATAATTAGAGTGAGGACAGAAAAATGAGAGAGATAAATTATAAATAAATTAACAATAAAGATTAAAAACCCATGTAGAATTTAAATCATATTGAAATCAGGCCTGTTATAATTCATATAAAAATTACCACTTTGAAAGTGACTGAGAAGTGATCAACGAGAAAATCAAAGTAAATACTACAAAACTGACCTTACTCTAGGAGAGATAATGGATAATGTTGAAAAACAAATAATAAACCGTGATAGATCTGGTAACAAGTATTTATTTATACACAAAACAAGTAACCTTGACAAGCATGTCCAATGTCACTATCATGGTTATGTATTTAAATGAACTAGGCATTCCAACGACCTGTCAAAACAATAGCTGCCAGTGGGAAGGGCTCATATATCTAAAGGAAGTTGCCACATAGCCTTTCATATTGTACTCTATTTTTATTCGAAATAGAAGTTGCCAAGCCACCCAATTGATGAAAAATGTAATCCATTATTCATGATATCACGTTTTGTAGTAGATAGAATACATCGTATGTCACAATCCTAGACATATCAAACCTTCCCACCCACAGTTCTTTTGTTTGGAATGCTTAACAATAACCACCAAGCAAAAGGTTTAGAACACAAAGCGATAAATTAGGATAAATTAGTAATTATGTCATTTTGGTCCTTATATTCTATTCTAAATCAGCACAAAATATTTAAAAGACAATGTAAATACACTAAAAGTCGTTGAGAATAAATTCATATGATTTTCTATTTGTCAATGAAATGACTGAACTAAGAACACAAGAAAGTAATATTGGTTGCCTAGATGTCAGTAATTTTTTTAACCAAAACACAATTTTATAATCTATTCAAAATTAGAAAAAAATATTGTAACAGATTATGAAATGCCATTTTATGTAACTCGTTCTGCTTATCCCACAAATATTCACTCGTTACATAAAATAGGAAATTTCGTAACTGGTTGCATAAATAGCTATTAAATGTTAATAACAATGGTGCTACTTTGTAAAAATATAATATTAGTAGATTACAGATATCTCGAAAAATCACCAATTGAAAAGCAGTTTAAGATATTCTTCCGTAAAGGAGAATATTTCAAAGATTTTCAACATTATATAATTTATTAAAGCAACAATAATTAAATAGATTAAAAAGGTTGTCCACAAGAAAAACATTCTTATTAATTTTATACCTTACACTACTCTCATTTACTAATAGAAGATATTATGTTAACAAAAATTTATTTTAATGCTTCTAATATCTGTTTTTTTTTAAACCACGAAAAGATAGTTTCCAAGAAAAAGCAAATTTGTTAATACAGCACGAACTTAAAAAATATGAGATGCCAATCAAGATGGAATACTACCAAGAATTGAATAGCATTTTATTATTTCATGTTCCATATGAACTTTAAATCTGGAAACCTCACATAAGACCCGCTATTTGATAAAAATAGGACATTAAAATTTTCAAAAGTTAAACTTCTAGAGGGAGCACAACAAATTGTAGCATAATTTAATATCAATTCAATGTAAAAAAATGCACAAACCTAACCACATTAAAAGTTTTAACAACTATGTCAGCATTGACAGTCTTTGTCATGATTACTTTGTTTTATTTATAAAAAATGATATCACACTATCACTTTCTATTATTGGGTTAAATTATAAAGAAAGGAAAAAACAACCAAACAGCAGAACTCAACAGAACCTAATAAGTATTCGATATCTTTACACCAACTTTCTTACTACATCAATATTATATTAATTTTAATATTATAGTTTAAAAAAAAAGTAGTACATACATTTTGCAACAAATGCATTAACAATTCACTTGCTAAAACACTGTTCCGCTTCGAATGCAACACCTAGGATACCCCAGGGGTCTTAACTCGGTCTCGTTTAGGTTTAACATCGTTTTTCACATACCTTTAATATTAAACCTTAACAAGAATAGACTAATATGCAAAAAGACCCCTGGGTTGTACCCTAAGTTAATAATAATGTAGAAAAAAAATTAATCCTTACTACCTGCCGGATTCAATCCTCCCGCTGCCGTGGGTCCCAGCCCACCTAATCCTAAGGCAGCTAAACCTGCAAGCGGATTTTTACCCAAGCTTGCAATCTGAAACAATGAACGTTTTTAAATATCGCCAATGGACTGTCAACTTACCGTCCACTTTCATAATTATAATTGCCTCAAAATTTTAATAGATCACTGAAATTGGGATTCAAGTTCGGAATGAGAGACAATGAGCTGAATATTTGGATAGACCTTTGTTTTGGCCTTCTAGACACCGGGTGAAAAGTCGCATATATAATCAAGTGAACGTGTCTTAAGATATTCAAAGTTAAAGGTCGCATGAACATGATTTAACAGGGAGAAAACGAGAAATTTCCAAAACGCCGGTTTTCACGATATTTGACTTTAATTATCTTACACATGTGACTTTTCACATAGTGTTTAGAAGACTAAAAGAAAGGTTTATGCAAATATTTGACTTACTGTCTCTCATTCCGAGGTTTACCCGTTTTTTAACTTATTAAGTAATTGATAACTTATTTTTTTGGCGTAATTTACAATTTTCAAATAAATTAAATTTTCTGGATGGAGAATATACAAAAAACCTTATATTGCTGGATATAGAATTAAAAACCTTTTCAAATGAACTATCACGCGCACAATCGTTCCATTTAAACTTTTTAAAAGGGAGTTGAAGGGGGAGGTATAAAGTTGTGCTCAAAAAAAAAATGTTATCCCAGAATTAAAAATTGACGTGTTTCGGCATTTTATTCAAATAGTAATTACGTAGAAAATTAATTTATCAGTTACTTATGGACTGCACTGTATATACGTTTGTCGAATTTCATTTTTATATAAACGAAGCGGAATTATGAAAATTAACAGTTCGAATGTACCTGCATAATTACTACACTATTTTTCAGTTATACACATTGATTTTATGTTAACTAATATCTATAACATTGATGTAATAGCTAATACAACGTAGTGTAGCTTATATGTAATCAGAAATATTACTAAATGTCTCACGAAACTCAAATTGATTTTATTTGAAATTAATCATAATGGTCTCCCTCCTCTTCATGCAATTGCTAAATACTTCAAAGTGTCATATACAGAGTGATTCAACAAAACAAAATAACCTGTAAAATGTAAAAAGACATATTTTCAATTTGTACTTTTAATATGAATGGAACTTACCCATTTTTTAACATTTCGACGTTTTGCATAATTAAGATAGTTAGATTCTTTACTACAAGAATTTTAATAATAAAAAGAACCAACCTACGCTTTTCCTGAAAATAATTTTTAAGTTATAAGTTGGTACACTCTGTACATATTTATTAATATAAATAAAAATTATGAAGCTTATCTGCAATATTACAATGTTTACCACCATCGATGCATGTTTCTCAAGTAACAAAAGCATAATAATAATTATGATAAGGTTAAATATGTTTTACTATATTCATTAGGTTATTGAAAATGTCAAAGCAGCTAAAACAAGTAAATTTGAAATACATGCAAAAAATAGATTTATGTGAAATTTAGTGTAATATTTAGGCAGTACCAATACTAAAAATGCTGATTTTTTCTATATCTACATTTACTTATACTTGCTAAAAATAATTTAATGATTCCAAACATGCATAACAAATATGAATAGGCGAAGCAGTAAATACAAGTTTACGGTAGAGAAAAAAGTGTTTAAAATTACTATTTTTATCAACGAGTTTTGGTTTTTATCAGTTCCACATTTTCCATAGTTTTACCATAAACACTATTTTTTTTAAGTAAACTTGCAACCGCCTCTTACATTTATATTAACACATATTTCGAGGGGCTATTTTTTTACAATAAGTGACATGCTTCATGGGCGTACATACACGTAATTAACAGGTAAGAAAATTATAAAAATTGTATTGAAGGACCCAGGGCCAACAAAGGTGACAATTGGATGGTTCGTTTTAGTCAAATGATTCTGGAAAGTTTCTAAGTTCAGCTCTCCTAGTAAACATAGAGAACTTAATGCTCTTAAAGGTGTTGAAATTATTTTTTTTTTTCATAATTTGCTAATTAATTTCTATTGTGTTAATTAGCTGAATATATATGAAGTATAGTTATTTCATTAAATTCATGTGTAAGTACAAGAACATTTTGATAGTGTATTTAGGAATTTTAAAAATAATCAGATTCTTTAATATCATCTTTTTAAAGTTAAAGTCTGTATGTTTTCTAGGATAGTATTAGATTTAGAAAATTATTTGGACTCCTGGACACTCCATGTAAAGTGCATTTAAAAAATAATTTTAAAATAAGCCGCAATAATATACAGCAATTCAGAAATTTTTATTATTTTTGAGATGTATTATTACAACCTAAAATAAGAGATTACAAAATGAATATATAACTTTCAGTTAGAATAAAAATGTAAACGGTGTATTTTACTTTACCGTTTTAAATATTTACTCCATTGATTTCTGTAATATACGTATCGTGCTTGGTACCGTTGTTTTTTAAAACGATTTATTTGAACTTTTTGTTGTTATGTATCTTTAATCATAATGAATTGAAAAACTATTAGTATTCTCATTTCCTGTTTTTTGTGTAAAGTTAGTTACAATATATTCTCGGGTTACAATATTACGTCTTATTTTCCGATTTGCCACATAATCACTCCATGACAAAAATCACTAATAAGAATCCACGACCTCAATCTAATATTCTGTATATAATTAGTAATGCCCTCTGTCACGATCATAACCATTTCAAAGGTCATTTTTACGGACTTGCAGCATTAATAGAGCTTTATATAATATATTATTTACATTAGAAAAGCGTAAGAAACATAAAAAAAAATCAGTTATAACAAAAATAATGAAAAAAGTGGAAAGAATAATAGAACGACTAACAAAATAATAATTGTGGACAATGGATTCGTAATCTAAATTAGTCTGGCTGATTATTAATGCCAAAGTCCATAATTAAAAAAAAAAAAAAAAATAATAATAATAAACTGCTTTATCGCGATCATGGTCATTTTGAGGGCAGCTTCAAAGGACATGAAACCTTTACACTGTATTGTAACTATCAATCTTCTTTTTTTGGCAGCCAGCAAAGTAGGTCACAAAACGGATTATATTTTAAAATGACTGTTTTGATTTGTTACTTTTTAGATTGTAAAGGATTTAAGACTTCTTATTAAGTTCAACTTCCAAAATAGTAACCAATAAGTTGCAACGTCTAAAAGTACAAAATTTGTAGGTAATTTAAAGGAAGAATAACTTGAAATTACGTTGAAACATCTAGGGTTTTCTGGTGGATGATTTAAAAGTTGCTGAGCGAATTTATGCGAAAATAGATACTGCGCTATATTGCGATCATGATCATTTCTAGGGCCGCTTTAAGGGTCTTGCAACATTTATTTTATTGTATCAATTTTCTACAAATTTGGTTGTCCAACAAAACAGAACTCTATTTCAAAATGACTGGGACTAATTTGCTACTTTTTATTAATTTGGGACATATTAGAGCAGCATACTTATGAATATACGAATTTAAGATATGTCAGCAAAATCAGGCCCAGCGTCTAATAATACATCAACCACTAGTGTGAAAATACAGTAAATTACAGAAATCAAATGTATCGCACCAACATTCGTAATTATTGAAGAGTAAGTACATTAGATAACATCCAACCATTCTTTGACAATCGCAAAAATTCCACGTCATTGAACGATGTCCAGAATCACCAGACTTGGACTAGAAGGGCTGGTTCACGTTCAAAAACACAGGTAAAGTATGTAATGTATAATTAAAAAATAAAAAACAAAAAATACGGAGGAGAGACAGGGGGAGCACCAATACGATTAACTTACATCTGGAAAGAGATGCGCGGGTGGTAGGGCGGCCTGCAAATGTCCGTTCTTGAGCGGTTCAAAGGCAGCGATTAGCTGCGCCGGTGCTGCCGCTGCCGTCAGCGGATGGCAGAGGGGCATAGGGTGTTGAGGTTGGGGAGGGACGGGAGCGTAAAGAGGGGTCAATACTGTTGAACTACTTACGTCTGTATGGGCGGGAACGGCGTAGTTGCCTTGGATGGTATAGGCCTGTCCGCCGGCCAGGATTACGGGACCACCTACTTGGGGTTTGGGGCGGTAAGGGATGGTTGCTCCTTTGGGAGGGGACTGAAATGAAAAAAAAAAAAAAATACATAATTATATTAATAGTATTTTCAATAAAGGACAGTGCAATGCAAACTCACCTCGAGCATAACGTTACAAATATGATAAATGCACTGTGTAATTGCTTCTCCAGTACCAGATATAGTCACAGCCCGTTCAGTTGAGTTAGGCAGCATTTCGGAGGCGACCTGTATGGAGGCGCCCGTCACTTCTCTGATCTCCTTGATCTTGGACCCCGCCTTGCCGATGAGGGAACCGCACTGGCTCGCCGGAACGACCAGTCGAAGCGTGATCGGTGGCCGGGGTACGGAACTGCTGCCGCTGTTTATCTCCTGGAACTGTCCAACGAGCTAAATAAGTCATTTTGCACGTGTCAAAGGCATAAATTAATATTTCGAGATTTCCCAAATTCAGAAATACCGGTTATTTATTTAAAAATACGCACGTCACTGATGTTATGTAATTCATCGTACTTTGTGAGCTGATTATTTTGACATAGAATTTCGATACTTCATGCAATTATTATAATTAATTAAACGTACAGGGCGAGATTATAGAAGCTCTGCAAATCGTACTTACATTGCGACTATTTTCAGCTGCAATACAGAAACATGGTATAACAGAATCGTGATTCACTTTTTGCGTCTGCAACCTTGCAAAATGTCAATTGCTTTTATGTTTTTTCACAGATCAGGGACATTTTTTTATGATGATAAAGTTTTCTGTTGTCGTTGATTGAATATAGTTAGTGGTATCAGGTTATCTGCGTTTCAAAACAGTAAAGTATTTGGGCCATTTAATGTTGTTGGGGGTAATCAATCTGTTTTTTTTTTCACAATAGGGCGGTTTTGCAGATGCTTTTGGGAATATGAAAAAATGATACTTTAATGTTGAATTTGTAAGTCAACCATATATATGCAGATCTACAACGTTGCAGTAATCTCACCCATAATCAGAATTAATATGCTCTGCACTTATAGTTCCATAATTTAGAATTCTGGTTTATCTGATTTCATAATGAATTTATTAAATTTTTTCTTTAACTAGTATTTATTGTTTTAATAATTTTCACAGATGAAAAAAGCTTTATGTGGTAAAAATAGTTTTAAAATTCATTAAAAATTAGATATTACATATTACTGCCGTCATAAGCAAAACCCCAGTAACTACGCAAGCTATGGAATTGCAACAAAACAAATTTATTAGTTTCAGCATTTTGATCAGTGGTATCAATATACCTGTTTTTGCTGAATTAAAGACAATTTTTGGATAAAGTTTTTAACTAGTTAAAAATACGTTTTATTTCATTTATTTTGTTGGTTTGTGATTAAAAGGTTTTTTCTAAGCAAGCTGTACAAAAATGTTAGTTATGGTGTAGAATGAAGTAGACTTTTTTAAGATACAGAATAAATATTACCAGAATTTTGCTTTAATATCAGAATGGTCAAATAACCTGAAATATTTGTAATTTGTCAGTTACGGGATACGGCTTATGACGGCAGATTATATCAAATTAAGAATTTTAATTATTTCGTTTAGAATAAAACAATAATGATTCATTGGAAAACCGAAACAGTTTGTAGAAATCTACATTTTTTAATTGTGAATAATATCAATGATTTCATGATCATTGAGAATGTCTCATCTCATATAGATCCATTTTCGTACCAATAATTGACCAATTTAAGTCGAAATTCAAATCAAATTCAATCAAATGCTCTATAAATAGTTTTACTATTGACATGTTTTCTTTTTAATTGTGGATATTGCGTTTTTTTAATAAATAAAATTGACGAATTTGACTTACCTCTTCAAATTTTTTACATATTAATGTGAAAGCTTTAAAAATTGCACTTGTAGTTCCTATAACTGTAACAATTCTTTCAGGACACGAGCCGTCTGAAATGTTTATTTTGGCACCACTCTGAAACACAAAAACAAAACTGATATAACAATTGAAAAATTTACAATGGCCAAATCTTATAAACTAAGGATGATATCAGAAAACGTAAAAAACAATTTATTTTGTAGAAATATTTATATCATCTTAATTTTAAATAGGTTTTTAAATAAGTACTATTAAACCACTCATTATAGAGCAGGGGTGCTCATATGAAAACTAGAAAGGAGGCGAATCGGCAATGGTCAAATTTCAAATTTCCGTCCTTCTTTTTATAAAGTTCGCGAAATTGACTGTAGTTGGCATGTCTAATGACAGCGCAGTCAATTTTCTATGTAAGTCAAAGTAAAATAAAGTGATTTTTTAAAAACTTGATTAAAAGAATCAAAGTAATGTGAAAAAAAGTACCTGATTACAAGTAACATGAGTGACAAAAAACATCAAACCAAGATTTACGTCGTATCAGATTGTAAAACAGGATAAATATCAAATGTAAAACTACAGAAAACACAAGAAATCAATTCAATGTCTTTCTTAAAGCTTTTAATGTAAGTAAAATAATGTATTCATGTCTAAATATAATATTTATTGTAAACTAGTCACAATATGTATCTTACGAAGTGTAGTTTATTATAAGTTTCTATAATATATAATTTTACAGTTATAGATGCTGACTTACAAACAACAATAATTATGAATTCAATTTAACTTATTAGAAAAGAATATTTATTTTTTATAGAGTTTTAATGTTTGATAAAGATTTGCTACTGTTATTTTTTTTTTTTTTGGACCCCAATTGTGTCATTGTACATGTTTTTTATAGGATACTAAACGTTTAGAACAGTGGCATCATATATATCGTTTCTCCTGCCAATAAAGCTCTTTCTAGAGATGATTCTGTTCTATAATTTTTAGAAGATATCAAATATTATGAGACTATTTTTTACTGATGGTACTGTTAGCCTAATAAAAAATGGAAAGCTGAAATTAAAGGATAAGGTAGGTAATACCATGTACATTCCCAAATCTCCCTTTATACTTGTATTACAACAATAAAAAAAATCTGTTAACTGTGTTTTATTTTACTTTTAAAACTATATATTGGTTCAATTCAAAAAAAAATTTGCCACAAAATTGTACTTATCAAATTTCAGTAATTAAGAAACCTTTTGGAATTTGGTCATACCATTGTATTTAGATCAACTAGTAAAACGATACCAATGCAAATTATCTTGGAGGACAATGGACAGTATCAATAGATGGCAGCAAGCTCCGTGGTGTCCAAGTCATGTCTTTGATATTTTTGTCGTCTTCGAAACGAACGTAATTTCTCTATTTACTAATAGATGGGCCCATAATCGATTCAGAATATTTGTTTTGAAAATGGAATATACGAGTTTAATTATGCTTGTTGAACATTTATTTACGATTTATTATCATTTTAGGGAATATAAACAATAGTAATTTAAATTTAACACTCTACCCATATGAATTTAAAAATTAAGAAAATTTTATGTATATAGAATTCTGTACTCAATGATCGAGGAAGTGCTAGCGTTCGGGCTATTTTGATGAATTTCTAACAGATGTCGGGACAGAATTACCTCCAACGAAACGTCCATAAGGTTGTTCTACTATCTTCTCTAAATACAATGGTCATACATACCTAATTTGTATTTTATATAGATAAAATTAAATAATTTATCAATTAAAACATGCAAAACTTATTTAGAAATAAATACAACAGTATGTTCTGTGCTTTATTTAGCTGTAAACAAGTTTATTTTTATTATTTTGACAAAATGATGTATAATTCCCATAAGAAGCCATGTATTTTGAACAACGTATGCAGTACCAGCGCCCATGCGGTTAATTATAGAAGCTCAATTAGCATGCGTTTTTTGGGACCGTATTTTGAGTATGCCGATTCGTCTCCTTATCTCTAGTCTTCATAGGTGTTCATTATGCCGATCGCATAGTAATGGGCGTGTTTAGTGTAAACGAATTTAACGAATCTACTGCTATTAATTGTTTAAGCACAAAAAACTTTTTTTTAATGTAATATATACTTTAAATAGATAATCTATATATTATATAAAATTGTTTGTCCTGACTGACTGACCTATCAACGTACAGCCAATACTATTGAGCCTAGAAAGCTGAAATTTGGAACATAGGTTTATTTTATAACGTAAGCATCCGCTAAGAAAGGATTTTTAGAAATTTTAATTTTAAAGGGGGGAAATGGGAAGAAATGGGGGGAGGGAGCTTTTAATGAAACTTTTTGCTCTTTAAAGTTAGAAACATGAAAATTTAAATTACAGCTACTAAGCATAAATAAATAATGATGTGTTTCAGGGATTTTGGATTTTAACATTTTAAGGGGGGAAACCGGGGGGTGAACGTTTGTATGAGACTATCGATTTTTTTTGTTCTCTTTTAAGTTAGAAACATGAAAATTGGAATTTCAGCTACTGACTACAAATTATTAATGACGTGTTTTAGGGTTTTTGGATGTCCACATTTTAAGGAGGGGAAATGGGGAGGTGAAAATTTATTTGGGAATATCCATGTTTTTGGTTCTCTTTAAAGTTAGAAACATGAAAATTTGAATTGCAGCTACTGAGTACAAATTAATAATGACGTGTTTCAGGGTTTTTGGATTTTCACATTTTAAGGGAGAAAATGGGGGATGAAAATTTGTTTGGAAGTATGTATATTGAAAGGGATCGTATTTAATTCCGTCCCCGTTGAATGGAACCAAAGTCGTGCATGCGTTGGAACAGGAAGCAGGGAATCATCGCATAGGAACGGGAATTATTTTATTGAATGTCAGATTTTGAACGTAGAGGAAATGGAATGTCGCGATTGTTAAAAAAGGTGTAGGTTTTTGTTAGTTTTATTTGTGATAAAAATGTAAGTGCCTTTTTAAATCAATTATTATGTTTCAATTACTTTTATATTATTTAACTAGTTGATGGTTCACTATTTAGATTTGAATTTCACTGTTATAAGTAATTTCATGCTTTTTCTTGACAGCATTTTTTGTATCTGTCATAAAAAATTGCTTGCATTCCAATTACGAGTTTATTTGATTTTATGACTTATTTTACTATCTAAATCAGTGAAAAATAGCATCCTTTTAATATTTTAATTTAAATATTTTTGAAGTTTATTGATATTTTGTAGTTATACCAGGGAAAATTTGCTATAATTTTTATTTGACATTGAGATTATTTTTTAGTCATTTTTAAAGTTCGGCAAGGGAAAAGTAATATTATATTAGTAAATTATGTGTTTTCCTAACATCAGATATTCACAGCATTGGCAGATCTAAGTTAAAAGTATAAAATGCCTTGTTGATTGATACTAAAATTTTCCGCCCGTGGCTGGGACAACATCGGGATAGGTGTCCCGGTAACTTACCTGATTTTGTCACCAGAATATTCAACTTTAGGTGGGTAGTAAAGCTGTAGAGTTTCCCCATTACCTTGTCCCTAATAAACCTTCTTCAGTTTTGCATCGAGTGTGTTTGAACCTAGTAATGCTCAATGTTTGTTATCTGATGAGTTATTGTTCTTAAAATATTTATTTTATTTTTGCCTTGCAGCCTTAAATATTGTTTTTTTTTTATACATAATGTATTGAATATTATTTCATATATTTTCCTGTGTATAACCTAAATTGAATATTATTTCATATATTTTTCTGTCTTTAACTAAAACATCAAGTAATTAAATGTGTTTTTTTATATATATACTTAATTTGTCATTTGTATCCAAATTGACGTTTGATTGGTTTTATTGTATTTATTATAACTTTGGGGTTTTCTTGCTGGTTCTTTCCCCTTATTTGATAAATTAATTATTGTTTTTTATTGCACCGAACCAGACCTATATTTAATCTTTATAAATATATTTTATATACTTATAAATTTTTACATTCTGATTCTGTCATCTATAATATTTTCAATAAAGATTAGATATAAATCAATAGATGTTTTCGTTTAACCTTTACCACTCCCTCAATAACACGTAAGTAGCCAATAGATAACGAATCTTTCAGTATGTCACTCGTGGTGTCCTAATCACTTCATAGTCGATCACGCCGTCACTTGATTTATCATACTTTTATAAAAGAGAGAGAGATATATTAGTTGAGTTGTCTCTCTTTATTTCAGTTGGTTACACTACAATATATTTTTTTTGTTCCTTAAAGTTAAAAACGAAATACAGCTACTGATCAAAAACAAATAATGATTTGTTTCATGGTTTTTGGATTTGCACATTTTAAGGGGGCAAAACGGGGGGTGAAAGTTTGCACGAGACTATCGATGTTTTTTTGTTCTCTTTGAAGTTAGAAACATGAAAATTGGAATTTCAGCTACTGACTACAAATTATTAATGACGTGTTTGAGGGTTTTTGGATGTCCACATTTTAAGGAGGGAAAATGGGGGAGGTGAAAATTTATTTGGGAATATCCATGTTTTTGGTTATCTTTAAAGTTAGAAACATGAAAATTGGAATTGCAGCTCTGAGTACAAATTAATAATGACGTGTTTCAGGGTTTTTGATTTTCACATTTTAAGGGGGGGGGACCAGCGATGAAAGTTTATTTGAAAGTATCGATTTTTTTTAAAGGTTGGAACTTGAAAATGGGAATGTATATATTTTTTTTGTTCCTTAAAGATAAAAACATGAAATACAGCTACTGATCAAAAACAAATAATGATTTGTTTCATGGTTTTTGGATTTGCACATTTTAAGGGGAAGGAAAAATAAAAATAAATAAATAAAAAAGTAAATAAAAATTAATAAAAATGAATAAAAATAAGTACTGCGTGCAATCTGGTGATATTAGCAGATGAGAGCCGTACCAGAAATGTGGTATAAAATGATATTTCAATTAGATTAATATATTTAAATATTAGAATAGTCTAATTAACATTAATCTATAATACTATCACAAACATACCGTGAACAGTAAAACAACATATTATCTCGTTTTTTTTAGGAAGTCATGC